CCTCTGGATGTGTGGGCTGTGGCCTTGCTGGCTCCCTGACTGAGGCCTCCGCCCCTCTGGATGTGTGGGCTGTGGCCTTGCTGGCTCCCTGACTGAGGCCTCCGCCCCTCTGGATGTGTGGGCTGTGGCCTTGCTGGCTCCCTGACTGAGGCCTCCGCCCCTCTGGATGTGTGGGCTGCCGGTAGCAATGACTCATCTAGAGAGTCGGAGTGGCGCCTCTTCTTCACGCACGTGGTAAGCATTTCTCAGCAAAAACAGGCAACTAAAAGATCTAATGATTGTCATACTGACATCATATCAGCAAAAATACATAACTGACACCTTCCACTATACTTTCAATGTCTGGGCTACATATCACAGACATGAAAGATATACAAATATTAATTATATCTTCGCAGTTGCATGTTATTAAAGGAGAAAGTGGAGTCTACATGTGAACTATATGTCAGAGCAGAAACCCAGTGCAGGTTATTTTATATTATTTTTATAAGTTAACAGAACCTTAGATGAAGTGCAGTAGTTGATAGGTGCGCTTTCGCTCTGAACGAGGACCGTTTATAACCAAAAATAATGTGACTGCTTGCTGGTTAAAACTGGTCAAATTTACGGTCTTCTGTAATTCACTGTAGAACGATGGGGCTTGCAATGTGGGCGGTGTGGACAAACGTGTGGATATGCACAGCTCTGCCCTGCACATGCCACACATCCAGTGTGGCCCGGGCCTGACTCCTCCCCCTCATCATGTGACCGACATGGCTCTTTCAGGGACATCAGCTGTTTTTTCACCCGTAACTCTTTCCACAATAATTATTCCAGAACAATCCATTGTATCTGCAGCCCAATTAATCCATTCGAGGATTTTTTCTCCCAGCGACCATCAAATGTTACAATAAGGCAGGATTTGGGCCTCCAGCACCTGAAAAGCCAGGTTCATGACCTCTGCAGGCTCCTTCCTGAAGATACGTCCCTCTGCCCATCCACCGCATCAGCCATATAGCCATGTGATTACAAGTTGTCATCACTCAAAATACATAAAATCCTAATTATTCCTTTTAAATTCCCAGTCAACTGCATATAAAGTTTAATTTTACCAAAGTATGACTTCACCTCCTCACAAATTGGACACTAGAGGACCTCATGTCTGTAGGGACAGAGATGACACAGCAGATCTCGATGGCCAACAGCACAGTCTGGGAGCATAAAAAGGCCAGCACAGAGGTTAGAATCCTACTTTTGCAAGGAAACCAAGGATTCCTTTCCTAATGCACATCCAGAGTCTGGCGGATATGCTGGTCATAGACTGTCATTCTAAATAATTGTATTGTCCTTAATGTTTTAACATTGGAAAATTTAGTTTCTTAAATCTTATTGTAGATCAACAGTTGTGATTGGATGCACAAGGCATTACAGAAGGTACAGAATCCTACAATGTGTGCCAGATCTTCTTATCCTGTGGGCTCAGTACATTTATGATGTTTCATGGCAAAAAGAACTGTATTTTTAAAAAGATCTTTCGTTTTGCATATTGTTTGGGAAAAAAATGGAAAACTCAACTCATGAAATTGTTTTTTCCCTCAATGGATTGAACGACACAAAATCAAACCAACTGATTTATTTTTCCTGTTCATTTCTCATCTACTTGTTTACAGTTTTTGTGAGTTTGACTCTGGTTGTGACTGTTATGCTGGACAGAGTTCTACATGAGCCCATGTACATCTTCCTGTGTAATCTGTGTGTCAATGGGATTTATGGTGCTACAGGTTTTTACCCCAAGTTTCTGTTGGACCTCTTATCAGAATCTCACGTTATCTCATACAATGCATGTTTAGCTCAAATTTGTTTGGTTTACACATATGTGTTTTGTCAGCTTTCCAATCTGACAGTGGTGGCTTATGACAGGTATGTTGCAATATGTAAACCCCTGCAGTATCACTCCATTATGACCCCGGGGAAGGTGGGGAAATTGCTGCTGGTCCCTTGGCTGTTATCTTTGTGTGAGACATTAGTTGGGTATATTTTGATAGCTAGGTTGCCTTTGTGTGGGTTCAAAATTGATAAACTTTATTGCACCAGCTGGGATGTGGTGAAGCTCTCCTGTGTAGACACCAGTGTGAATAATCTATATGGACAGGTAATAGTTGTTATTCATTTTTTCCAAGCACTGCTGATTGTAATCTCCTACTTCCACATCATCAGGACATGTCCTGATGATGTG